AGAGATAGTAATTTAAATTGACGTTTTGATGCTCATAGGTTTACGAAGTTAATTAACAGTAAATGCCATCTGATTGTCTGGAAAAAATGCCATAAATAATAAGTAACTATCGAGGTGTAAACATATTTTTTTAATACTAAATTGCGGTCTGGTGTGTGTGAAATGCCATGCAGCTGCGGTCGCAAGTTTGAATTCTGCTAGTGCAAATTTTAGTGTGATAGATATGCTTCAGGCATCATACTCAAGGAAGTCACTATCGAGGCTAATACTTGAACTAATAACTAAATTGATTTTGTCATAATTTCCGCGATCAGTAATTTATGAAATTGGAAGGGCAAACAAGAAGTGCCAAAGAGCGTTAGAGACCATATTCCGTTTATTTTAATTCGTGATCACAAATTAATAACCCTAAAACCTATACGTCTAGTAATCGGTACTTACTTTAAGAATTGGACACTGTAAAAAGACGATTACTTTCCTTAAAGTTTATTTTATTAACATCATGCCTTTTTCGAGGTATCGTTCTGATGCGTTTTAACGTCACGACTCCTATACAGAGAGTCGTTTGTTCCCGAATCGGTCACTATGGCCGGACCATCGGTTTTTTGTAATCGTGATACCGATTACCAAAAATTTCTTTTACGAATAGGTAGCAAAGTTTTTTTTTTTAATTAGAAATTTCAACACATTGCAGAATATTTTAATTTCTTTCTCTATTCATCTCACACTCCTAGTCATTCTAGAAAATTTCAAAATAAATAGCAATCTGAAAAACTATGTATGTAGGTATTTGTTTCGTAGACTGGAGGAAAACAGCAGGTAAAATATTTTTTGGTCATTGTATCAGCAAGAAATCCAATAAATTCTTATCGAAAACGACTACCGCGTTTGTAACGTCAAGTCAAGCTACCGAGCGCGGTAAAAGTACAAGCTCAATATTATCAGTAGCGTTACCGGTAATACCGATAAACCGGTGCTGCATTCCCAACGCTACTTATCCGAGAGGCACTATCGGCAAATTAGACATATTCGCCAAAGTCCGCTGGGCCATTTCTCATGCCCATTGAATCGCGCGAGCCGACGATTCTCGTACGGATTGTGTTGCCACTTTAAGTGTCAACTGCCTTTTTATTGGAACACCAAAACATGAATGTTGAACTTTTTAGTTGGTATAGAATATTGGTCTTCTTAAATGGTGGCCGTTTATGTTTTTGTGGTAATTTATGTTGTATTTTATCTTTGTGTAATACTTTTTGTAATATGAACCAAAGTAACCACACCAGACATAGGCCTCCCCCAATACATGTTTTTACCCTAATTGCTTTTTCCAGTAACCCATCGCAACTCGTCACTACATTAACTGAACGGCATTTGCTGAATGGCGTTGCTTAATTTCTGAAAATGTATAATTAATTAGTAAGTAAAATTTGACATTTAAGTACACGTGAAATTTTGATGACATTAATGTGTCAAATATTTAACCTTTAGTCATAACGTCATTTAGGTAACAATGGGCGCACAAAAAATAAGTAGTCCCAACCCTTTAGGATGGCAACACCAAAGCGCGGTGTTTAGTTAAAAGGCTGATTTGCATAATCGACGTTTCCACAGGTGCATTGGCAGCTGATTTAAGTCGCATGCCATGTGACAAGACGCACCGCGTAAGACCCGATTCACACTTGCGTTCCATTTGCGTTTTAGAATACTTCAGACAGGACCAATTTCGATTATTATTCTGTTTACTTTGTGTTGAACAGAATATCTGAATTGCGAATAATAGAATTTTGTTTTTCATTTAGATTTGAGTTTTTTTTTCTTTACGTTGAAAGCTTTTGCATGTACTCTTATTTATTAACACCCGATATCTACATCATATTTTGGCAAGTTGTTTTTTTGTAATTTAATAATATTTATGGTATGTTTGTGTTTTTATAGAGACAGAAACGAGTGCTCGCTCAGTAACAAAAGTAACAAGTTAAATAAAAATCCTGAAAATTGCGTCAAGACGCTCAGAAAACCGTTCAAAAACGCGCAAGTGCCAGTGTGGTTAAAGCTTACCTTTCCTGCGACTGACAAGACGCGCCGACGTATATGGCAATATACCGAGAGTTTTTATTCGCCGAACAGGACAGCTCTTGTGTTTATGCCTTATTCTTTGGCAGGCAGCGCGTTCTTTGCCTTTATTAATAGACGGTATATTGTAACTTTGTTGAAATGAATTTTCCGAGTCGTATCAATCGACAGGCATTTAGAAAAAGCTTTTCAATATGGTAAAGGACTGTCGTTTAGTTGGGAAGAATTTACAAGATTCACCCAATCTTTAAGCGAATATAGGCTTAAGCAGCTGTCATAGGCATCCATTACTCGATTGGATTGATGGCTTGATTATTCCATCAGAATTTTCATAGTGCAATCTTTTCATGAGAAAATTTGCAGCAGTAATGAGATAGTCCAGTCAATGAATGCCTTAACGACGGTTTAGACAGAAATCCATGGAACACAATTTCTGACCTCGGGACTTTATTTAGCCTAGTTAGGTGGTGAACATAGCAAAAGTCCCCGCCCTTAGCCCTTGAGCCGGCAGGGAGAGGGGGGTTTAAAGGTACCACTTTTCGGTTTTTCGCTTAATCCTCGGAAACTATGCGTCCTAGTGACATGACTACTATGAACCAAAAAAAGCTCATTCAATTTGCTACAGGCGAGACCGTCAAGTGTTTCTATATCTTGTATAGTTTTTGCGGCATTTGCTCTAGAAGGTCTGTAAAATTGGAAATTTAATTTTTGTCTTACATGTTCCTATCAGGAGAAAATCGACTAAATCAACATTGAGCAAACACTATAGACATGCGGGAGCATGTTAAGCCTAGTTCCAGGGAGGGGACTGCACCGTGCGTATATTTAGACGAACCAATTGGAGCCACTTTTGACTCCTCATCATTCAAAAACTACTGTGCATTAACACTTCAAATTTGGCTCATGTATTGAGACTTGCAAGATGTACATTAGCTTCAAATTTCATAAATATACCTCAAACGGTTATTTAGGTATTGACGTTCAAAAATCGACATTTAGAACACTAAGATCTATCTCTCACCTGTGAAATGTTAAAATTTGCTGATTTTTTATTTGTTCCTTTGTATTTACATAACTACCTTTCTGGATGCCAAATTTGAACCTTCGAGGTCATCTGGAAGTGGTTAGAATTTGGTCTATAGGTCAGACATGTAGATTTTTGGACGTCAATACCTAAAGAACCGTTTGAGGCATATTTATGAAATTTGAAGCTGATGTATATCTTGCAAGTCTCAACACATGAGCCAACTTTGAAGTGTTAATGCACAGTAGTTTTTGAGTGATGAGGAGTCAATAGTGGCTCAAAGTGGTTCGTCTAAATATACGCACGGTGCAGTCCCCTCCCTGGAANATATGCTTTAGGCACTATACTCAAGGAAGTCACTATCGAGGCTAATACAACTAAATTGATTTTGTCATAATTTCCGCGATCAGTAATTTATGAAATTGGAAGGGCAAACAAGAAGTGCCAAAGAGCGTTAGAGACCATATTCCGTTTATTTTAATTCGTGATCACAAATTAATAACCCTAAAACCTATACGTCTAGTAATCGGTACTTACTTTAAGAATTGGACACTGTAAAAAGGGGCAATATTATTTGATCCTCTAAAAACTAATTGATCTTTTTTACATGTGCACTTTTAAAAATGAATGATGTTTTTTTTTATATTTTATCTTTATATTAATTATTGGGTCTATATTAGTTGATCTACGAATAAATTTTAAATGAACTTCATTTGAGGTAACATAATATTTATGTTTAAACACACTCTTATAATATTTGGTAGACAAAAATAATATTTGATCCTCTTTTTTAGTTATTGATCTTTAATTTTGTTAATTTGTCGATTTTTATATCAAGTTTGCCTTTTAATATTGATCACCTAATAAATACATTTCGATCTATATTATAACTTAACTTTAAAATCTATTTGATCTAACTAAAAATATAATTGGTAAATATTTGTAATGAAAAAATATCTTTAAATTTGCGGGTACTTTGTGAATGAGCGACACTCGTTCGTCATTGCTCGTTTACTGAGTTCGCCAAGGGCTTAGCGGCGAATCAGCAAACAGTATGGTAGGTATATTGCCATGTTTGTTTTAGTGATGTGCCAACTCGGAAAAAAAGTCGATTTAACCCGAGTTAAAAGAGTTAACTGGATAGACAAGTGAATGCTTTTTTTGAATTAAAAATATATATTATAAATTTTATTTATTTATAATGTATCGGGACAGTTATCCTACTAATCTTCTTTTAATATAAATACGAAAGTTTGTATGGATGTCTGGGTGTTAACATGTTTGTTACTCTTTCACGCAAAAACTGCTGAACGGATTTTGATGAAACTTTACAGTGTTATTATTTATAACCCAGAATAACATAAAGGCTATAATTTATGACGATCTGTGACAAACTAAATTTTACGCGGGTGAAGCCGCGAGTAAAAACTAGTACATACTAGATGAAGTACTTAATTCAATTCCCGCCTTAGGCAGTTCGATTTTTTCAAGTTATTTTAAATTTTCAAATAAAGTAAGAAAATTATGTTTGATTAATAGAATAATTTATGTGAAAATTAAAAATAACTTGAAAAAATCGAACTGCCTAAGGTAAAGCATTTTTGGCTTGAATTTTATTTTTAAAAAATATTTATATTTATCACCCGGCATTTTTCAAAAACAGAACATAAAATACAAAAGCCTTCGCTCCATGTCGGTTCCATTCGGTTCAAACTCGAGTCAGAGAGAATTTAACTTGAGTGGGTTCGAGTTACGCCCAACTCGAGTTAGTTACCTACTCGAGTCGACCATCACTAGTTTGTTTACATTATTACTGTAGCTTTTTGTAGTTGCGCGCCGCAAGTTTATTTGAGTAATAATTTGGTGTATTTGATGATAGAATCAACTTTTTATAATCTGAACTATGGAAGTGAATAATGATATTCCCGCGTACCGTTCGGATAGTGATGAATCCGTAGAAGAAACGGTTTTAAAGAAGAAAAGAGGTGTAAATAAAAATTGGAATCTTGTGGAAAGATTTAAAACTAGCGAAGAAGCAGAAAACGCAGTGTCTTTGGAAAATACTTGGGCTGCCTTAAGGCGATTAGAGTCCTCAATGACCTTGGGCGTTTGACCTTCACGCCGCGAGCAACACCCGCGCACCCCGCACCAAAAACTCCGATTTGACACCGATCAAAAATACACGGGCATAGGTAGATACAGAATAGAAGCTCTTTCTTCATACATTACTGCCTATTATTTTAAACTTAAATTGATGAACCTTGATGTCGGTGTCATTTAACTCAGGCGTAAAGGTATTTAATAAAAATAACAAAATCCATGAACATTTTGTTGCAGTTGTTTTGGAGTCAATTATAGTTTTTTTACACTAATAGATTCTATTCAGGTAGAAAATAGCGTCTGAGCGCGTCATAATTCAATTGTATCATCTGACTGCACGTACTCTATGAACAATTCTGACATAAAATCTATTGTCGAACAAAAGCTGGGTTGCACCATCTTACTTCAACTTTGACAAGCGTCAAAAGTCTGTCTAACTCCATACAAAAAACACCGGTTATCGCCAAAGCTACGGTCAAAGTTAGGTCACGTCAGGTAGTGCAACTTAGCCAAAGAAAAAATTCATTTTGATCGCTAATGTCAGTTTGTAGCGAGTGACACAACCTCCCCGTCTGAAGGCCAGCGGCCGACTGCCGCCCGCACCCCGCGAAGGCCCCCTCAACAGCAAAACGTTCGGAATTTATCAAAAGTAAAATTTATGAATGAAAGTAATGTTCGATTGAAAAACGCAACGTGTCATTTAAAGATTAAAGAATTCCCAATCTATTCGTGCAAAAATCTTTTAAATTAACATAGCCGTTTTGGAGGAGTAGGGAATTTAAGTAAAAAATCGATGTCCCGTATTTATTTTTTTAATCCAAAACAAAGACACGTAGCGAAAATTCAAACGTCACAAATGTAGTCCTTGAACTGTTGTATAACATACATTTTTTGCAACTATTTCTGTCCAGCAGTAAAAGAGGAGTAGGCTTTACAAAATGCCCATTTAGCGCGGATTGAGGACACTAATCGCCTTAACTTCTAGAAATACTGAAGAAGGGAAAAAAGTAATTTATCGATGCAAAAAAGTCAAACGTCGCGGCCCGCAATGTGCAGCACAGGTATATTTACTTTACGAAGCTGACTCTGAGGATGTTATTCTCTTTCGCGCTGACGCCAGTCATGATCACGACTCGATCAACAACGAATCTCATTATGGAATCGATGAGAAAACAAAAGAAAATATCAATAAGTTATTTGATTTACGATTAAAACCTAAGGCAATTTTGAACAATTTAAGAAATATACCTGACCTGAAAGTGCCAACAAAAACTCAATTGAATAATTATTTGTCAGATCGTCGGAAAATAAAGTATGGTCCATCGGTAATAAGTTTGGGGGAACTTGAAAAGTGGATATTTGATCATACTGAAGTCCCAATAGATGAACATGAAGTTTTTGTTATATCGTACTATATATATGATGCCGAACCGATAAAGCTGCGTTTTGTATTGTCAACAAAATATTTATTGAAGTTAATGTGTCAATCTACTGTTTTACACGCTGACGCCACTTACAAATTAATTTGGCAAGGCTTTCCTGTTTTAATTGCTGGAACTACGGACAAAAATGGCAAATTTTACCCAGTATGTCTTGCTGTATCAACTACGGAGACTACAGAAGATTTTGAAATGCTGTTTAGCGGTTTGAAAAATAGTGTCATTCTCTACAACCTTCAGTGTTAATTTGCGATGCAGCTAAAGCCATCCAGAATGCTTTTACCAATGTGTTTGGTTCTGAAACTATAATCAGGATGTGTTGGGCTCATGCGAAAAAAAACATAAAAACAAAATTGGAACAAACAGTAGACAAGAAGAAACAGAATGATATACTAGAGGATATAGAATGTTTACAGGCTGCTACTTCTTCCCAAGACTTTGATATAGCTTCAGAACTATTTATAAAAAAATGGGAAAACGAGAGAGTATTCATTGCTTACTTTAAAGAAGAGTGGTTACTTAAAAACCGTCATTGGTATTTAGGTGCATCGCCTGGTTCTCCAGCCACGAATAACGCACTGGAAGCCACCAATAAAGTAATCAAAGATACGCATACGTTGCGAGAACGGATACCACTATCGAGATTTCTGATTGTTGCTACAACCATAGTGACTGAATGGTCACAAAATAAAGGAATCGATTCTTTTGCGACAAGCTATTCGGTTAAACTTCCAGACTGGACACAGGCTTATCAGTGGGTTAAGATGGATATAAAAGTGACCATTTTACAGTCAGATACTGATACAAAGACATATTTGATACAAAGTACAAATAAAAACACGCAAAAACATAAATATGCGTTTATCGAACGTACATGGAAAACATTTGATCAATATAAACAGATTTATTTTTCACACTGGAAACTAATAATGCCAAAAAATAGTAATATGTGGGCTGACAGCAAATGTAGTTGCCCGAAATTTGCAAAAAAATATATGTGTAAACATGTTATAGGGCTTGCAATTCGTCTGAAATTCGTAACTGTGCCACTGGAGGCCAAAAACATTCAAATAGGTCAAAAAAGAAAACGAGGCCGACCAACAAAAGCAAAACGTGCATTGATTATTCAATAAGAAGTTTTTATATTTAAGTTACTATTTAAGTACCTACCTATGCTATTTTAATAAAAAATAAATCTATCAATAACTATCAAGTGCCTTTAAATTGTTTCCTTCCTTTGACTACAACTTAATAAAAATAAGTACCATAACATAATTATTTGAAGATTATATGATGTAGACAAAAAAATAATTTATACAGATCGAATAATTTAAAAAAGTATCACAACATTGAATATTTAATGCTCATTTCTCTTATTTTTGAGGACCAACAAGTAAAGATCACATGTAATTTTCACATCTCAAAAATTTTTTTCGTAGTTATAAAGAGGTTAAAATAACGATCGATTTCATTTATTTTATGTCTCAAAGAAAGAGGATCAATCATTAAAATAGATGACCATTTAGATTTTTTTAGTTGCCATTTTGGCCAAAATAAAAAGATCATTTAAATACATGCCCTGTAAAAAGACGATTACTTTCCTTAAAGTTTATTTTATTAACATCATGCCTTTTTCGAGGTATCGTTCTGATGCGTTTTAACGTCACGACTCCTATACAGAGAGTCGTTTGTTCCCGAATCGGTCACTATGGCCGGACCATCGGTTTTTTGTAATCGTGATACCGATTACCAAAAATTTATTTTACGAATAGGTAGCAAAGTTTTTTTTTTAATTAGAAATTTCAACACATTGCAGAATATTTTAATTTCTTTCTCTATTCATCTCATACTCCTAATCATTCTAGAAAATTTCAAAATAAATAGCAATCTGAAAAACTATGTATGTAGGTATTTGTTTCGTAGACTGGAGGAAAACAGCAGGTAAAATATTTTTTGGTCATTGTATCAGCAAAAAATCCAATAAATTCTTATCGAAAACGACTACCGCGTTTGTAACGTCAAGTCAAGCTACCGAGCGCGGTAAAAGTACAAGCTCAATATTATCAGTAGCGTTACCGGTAATACCGATAAACCGGTGCTGCATTCCCAGCGCTACTTATTTGAGAGGCACTATGGGCAAATTAGACATATTCGCCAAAGTCCGCTGGGCCATTTCTCATGCCCATTGAATCGCCGAGCCGACGATTCTCGTACGGATTGTGTTGCCACTTTAAGTGTCAACTGCCTTTTTATTGGAACACCAAAACATGAGTGTTGGCCTTTTTCAACCGACTTCAAAAAAAGGAGGAGGTTCTCAATTCGACCCGTATGTTTTTTTTTTTTTTCTATGTTTGTTACGCGATAACTCCGCCAATTATGAACCGATTTTCAAAATTCTTTTTTTGTTCGATAGGGTACACTTCTGAGGTGGTCCCATTGTCACCAAGTCAGGATCTGATGATGGGATCCTAGGGAAATCGAGAGCAACCCTCAAATTTTATAGGCACGTATATCGTTTTTTTCAAACTTTTTCTTAAGTTATTCATATATTTGCTCCTGGAAATCATCATCTCATATTGATGAGCTGATGATAGAAGGTAAAACTCCTTAATGCTTAGGAGTTGGAGGATAATTCTTTAAATATTATAAGTACAAATAGACCAACAGTTGTATTCTTTCATGTTTTTAAGGTGGGCTGACGGTTTAAGGTCTTTTTAGGTTTCCTATATGGTAACCTGTATTTTGTAGGGAATATTATTTTACACTAGACATGAAGAGTATGGTCTCAATGTACTGCCTACCTTCAGTGGTAACATCAAGGTAATAATTAGTTAACTAAAAAGCAATAAATAAGTAAAATTTTATAAAAAAAAAGGTATACCTACATAAATATTAATAATTCGTCCTAATAAATAAGTAGGTAATTAGTAATTATTTTTCTACTTTTTAATGTAGGTTTTTTGGAGTCGGTTTTATTTTTTTTTATAAATTTTTACTTATAGTTGTTATGGTATATTGGTCTTCTTAATGTGTGGCGGTTTATGTTTTTGCAGTAATTTATGTTGTATTTTATCTTTGTGTAATAATTTTGGTAATATTAATGATCTAAAGTAACCACTGCTCGGGATATAGGCCTCCCCCAATACATGTNCTATACCCAAAAAAAATTAGGCAACTATCCTTTTAGCATAGGATAGGTGCCTTTTTTAATAAAAAATATAATAACACTAAAAATCGAATTAAACATAGCTATCCCGTATAAATAAATAACGTAATATTTTTTCTACTTGTATTTATCTAGTGCAGTTGTTTTGGAGTCAATTATAGTTTTTTTACACTAATAGATTCTATTCAGGTAGAAAATAGCGTCTGAGCGCGTCATAATTCAATTGTATTGTCTGACTGCACGTACTCTATGAACAATTCTGACATAAAATCTATTGTCGAACAAAAGCTGGGTTGCACCATCTTTCTTCAACTTTGACAAGCGTCAAAAGTCTGTCTAACTCCATACAAAAAACACCGGTTATCGCCAAAGCTACGGTCAAAGTTAGGTCACGTCAGGTAGNCATCTATAATGCTTTATTGACTGGACTAAGAGGTGGGATAGGAATTTGAATAGATGCAAAATGTTAATTTTATAACTACATCATTACTTATTTTGTTTTATCTAATTTCTAAAAAAATAGATAAGAAAATACAATGCTAGTTCGAAATGAATGATTCTATTTACAGAGGTTTCAGCTAAATAACTTAAGAATGCTGCTTAAAGCTAGCCTCCCACGTCGCGCGATCTATAGCTGCGATGTACCCTTTCGCCAGACCTTTGAGCACGTTGATCTTAGTTGCACTGGAACTGCTTTTTATGCAATTAAGTGGAGTATAATGTACCTAAATAACAAAAATGTATACATTTTATATTATTTTTCATATTATTATTTTACAGATGTTTAAAAACCGCATTGAAAATGTTCAACAAATAGCATGTTATCTTTATGCTTCCAGTAGATAGATTAGTAGATTCCAATAAAATAGGACCCATTCTTCCCGTGGATGTAGTAAAAAAGCGACTAAGGGATGAATAAGCGAACATCAGGCCTTCTCAACCCGTCTGGCCAGCGAGGGGAGTGTAGGTCACTTTCTCCTTTATCTTTGGTAAATTAGAGGCGATCCGTCGTGCTCCTGTAGTAGAGATGAGTAGAGATCATGAATGATGATGATGCTAACGTTATGTTTAATATCTCTGTTGTCTGTCATCTGTAAATCGAAACCGTTTGAAAACTTTTCAACGTTTTCTTCTAGTATTTTTACATCTCGAAAACTTCACATAAATCACAGGCCATCTATATTCCGTGCAGCGGACACCTGCAAACATTGGACCACTTCAACATAACGAAACCCAATTAAATACATCTTGATCTTGCACCAAACCATCATTAAGGTGTACATGACTTGTGTTGGCTGCTTAAACGAGAGGTGTCGGCTGAGCTGGTCATGATTCTGGTGAATTATTCGAGCTAGATACAAGGGAGTGGGACATGTTTGCGCTATGAACCTCGTTATAAGTACTGTTGGCTGGTATATTTTGTAGCTTTTGATTTTATTTGTCATATTTTATTTTCTGGTGGAGTCTTGTAAGTATGGCGTAATGTTTTTTCTTATACATACTTATCTACTTAGTTTTTATTTGCCTTCAAATTGAATCGGCCAATCGAGCAATCTGGAAATCATAGGGGGAGGTCCATGATCACCAGTGGACATCCGGTGGTTGAAATGACGATGAAGAGGATACAATTAAATTGTCTATCGATTATGACTATTTATGACACATAATAAATTATGAAACAGTAAGATAAAATCAAGTCTTGGTATGTATAAAATCAAGTCCTTCATTTCAAGTTAAATTTTAGTCGCGAAAATCTTAGAATCTTAATTTCCGTTCCAAACTAGTTGGGCCAATCTTATAACAAATTTCAGTTGGCAAGTGTGCTCGTAGGTTAATATAATATCACCGTAAAGCTGTAATTTATCATAGAGTTGCTTGTTGCTAATTAAACTTTGTATACAGGAGCAAGGCTGACGAATCCATTAGAATACTGATTTGTTTTCAACTGTACAGGGTGTTTAAAACTTACTATGTTTGCAAAACAGTTTTGTTTGGTTAGGTACATTTTACATACACATAATGTAGGCTCATAAAGGTTTGTTTGATTTTCAAAGTATTGATTAACAATATAGAAAGTAAAACAATGTATTTACAAATTGCTTTTTTTATTTTGTATGGAAATATAATAAACTTTTTAAACTATTTTGAATGAATATGACTTTACTGAAAATTCCACAACAAGGAAGCTCTTGGCCTGTATCTCACCTGATGGTAAGTGATGATCAGGCCGAAGGCGGAAGCGAGCTTCACCCGAAATCCTCAAGCACGAAGGAACTGGCTATCTTACCTCTAACTGCCGGAACACAACAATGCTGTTAACATCGTTGTTATGGCGACAGATAATAATAGATAATGTTTGATGGCTAACATCAGGATATTATCTTCTCTTATTCACCAGAAGAACATTTTTTCTTCATGCTGGCCTAGCTGGTTCCGTTCAGAACTAAGAATCCAAGCTCTAAATTCAAGTTTTTTTTTTCAACATATTCATCATTCATAACTCAGTGATTTGTTGCACTCACCCTGTATAACTCTAGCCTGCTACATAAGAAACTACTAGTGTTCATTAATTAAGTTCACCCTCGTTCATATCAGCACCTGTTCTTGAAAAGCGTTTAATAATGACGTCGAGTAACAGCTGCGACGTGGCGTTTGTGGCGGGACGCTAGTTTCCCTGAAGGGAAAATTAAAACTAGAGTTGGATTAGCAACATTAGATATGAGTTTTAGTGTATTTTCTTTGAAAGGATTTATGTGTTGGCAAGTGGTGCTTATGATTGTGGCAGTTCGGATATTTAAATAAAAATTAGCAATTTTTTCATCAAAATTAATAATTGTACCCAATCTCGATTCCATTTTCATTCCACGGCCGGGAGTTAAACTAAATAAAAAATTCTTGCACTTTTCATTCAGGCTTATGTCTGCATCTATTTTCCAAATAATCCACGGAGGGGGGAAAATATTTTCA